TAGGTTGGATCCACCAGGAATGGTAACCAGGCTAGAGCTCCCCCATCCTGATAGAGGAGCAGGTGAAAGACAGTTCGCGCAAAGCGACGAGCGTAGGAAGAGTCCAACAACCTAAAAACGCGAAGCATAGCGAAGCAGCAGATGACTGGATCGAAGAAAGTTTTCGCTTTCGAAGGTGCTAAAACTGGTCTGAGAGTCTCTATGGAAACGGCTTTTGATGGCTTTTGAACATGGGAATTCACACAGAAAAAAATCGAGCTAGTCAACCAGTGGACTTGGACAACAGAGTCGCAGCCTTTGGTTCTGCAACTAGTCACAAATTGGATGCTTATGATGGTTGAATGTTTGATTTAGAACATCTTGTTGAATGTCATTCAACTTCAACATACTTCAACTATCTCAAGACAAGCAGATCCAAAACGTGTGACCGCCAGCTGTGACACCCTGTTTGGTTCGAGGCGAGTTGCAACTGTTCCGTGAGCGCAGCAAATCTCATCACTTGTTCTTCCAATTGGCTGATCAATGCGGAATCCAAGCCTGAGATGAGATGTGGGATGAGGTGGAAAACGGTGGAAAACTCGATCATTTCATTGGAGAATCATGGGATAATATTGAGATATATTGAGATACTATTGAAAATTAGAGATGATTGTGGAAGAATATGGGAAAACCAAAAAGAACCATTTCTCTGAGGCCCGTGGCCAATGGATGTGAAGCGATCCCATCCGGCACACACCTCCGGCAGAAGCCATGGGATTTTTCAACTCAGAAGCGTTCCAAGACTTGCGTCTGGTTGGAAAAAAACTTGTTTCAACATGTTTCAACTCATTCCAATCCCAATTTTTCTCAATTTTTCGTGTCTTTCCGAAAATGGGTGATCCCCAGTCGTCACATGTCGTCACCATAGGTTTCAAACATGGCTTACTCAAGGGATCTTTCATTGTGGGATGATTTGGGCCCCCTTTTAGGCATCATCTTACGGCAACACAAAGGGCACCTTGAGCTCCTGTAGAATGGTCAACATGTGCTGCACTGCCACCTGCCGATCCAGGCATGGTGACAATGATTGACACGAATGACAAGTTGGTTGGTGGTTTTTCGCCCTACCCCTCTGAAAAATATGAGTCAGCTGGGATGATGACATTCCCAATCTATGGAAAGTCATAAAATTCATGTTCCAAACCACCAACCAGCATAACTTGTGGATTCAGTGCTGAACCATGAGCCATTTCCAGACGCATCCTCTGAAGTTCTCCAGTATCAACACTGCTACAAAGGCCTGCAAGTGAGAGCAAGTCACCAAATTCACCTCAGTCGATGTGCCAAATGATGCTGGTGTCGAGTAGTCAGAAAAGGACCAAATGATGGCCGGCATCTGCAAGAAATGATTCCTCCAATCTCATCTGGTTGAGCCATCGGAAAATGCGCACATCTACTGGGATCTACCAGGCGCACAGTTGATTGTGTCCCAAAAAACCCTTTCCATCCCGATGAGTTGATGATAGTTGATGGTTTCCATAAATCGGGGTACCCCAAAAATGGATGCTCTGGATGATTTAGGGCTACCCCCATTTATGGAAACCCCATAAATAGCCCCCTTCCAATAGCATCCATGGCTTCATCTGGGACCCAGCCCCCGTTCCCAGCTGTTGCAAAAAACCCATGTCTGGCGTTCCTCACATAGTCCAGCGCTTGCATCAAGCTCTTCTCGAGCCTGGATAACCTGAAAACCATGGCTTCCGTGGTGATTTTCAGGCATGGCTCAAGATGAGTCGTTATACCCTCTGGTAAACTAACATAGCTATTGAAAATGGCCATGTATAGTGGTTTTTCCCATTAAATATGGTGATTTTCCATAGTTATGTAAACGTTTACCAGAGGGTACTAGGTACTGATGGTTATACATGCTTATACTAGCTTCGGAACTGATGAGATAGGACATCTAAGACTGGGGGTCTCCGCCAAGTCCTATCTCTTTGGTACCTGGCATAAAATCATGGAATATCTGGCGGATGCTGGATATGTTTATCCAAAATATTGATGAACATTGGGTGGATTAAACATACTTGTTGATCAAACAAGAGTACCCTCCGGTAAACTAACATAGCTATGGAAAATCACCACTTTTAATGGGAAAAATCAACTATTTCTATGGCCATTTTCAATAGCTATATGTTTGTTTACCAGAGGGTACAAAGAATGAGTGAATTCCAACAGTCGGCATGCCCATCCGAAAAAAAAAAGAAAGATGAGCTTCCGACTGCTGCGGAGTGGATTGCCTTGTTAAAAAGGCATGAACTGGGTCTGAAGGGTTGCCTGCCAAGCGGAATGCCGGTATACCTTGAGGTACAATGTTTGTAATTCAATAGGATCCACCATCCCCAAATTTTCCATAAATGGCTTCTTTAATGTTCTATAAACCATCAAAATGGGGCTTTTAATATTGCTTTACCAACATTTTCCCAGAATTGCGATGTGAAAAAGGGGACATGATGACAAACCATAAACCAGGGGGAACTCATTGGATTTGAAATGACTCTATTGGATTTTAGACCCAATAAATCCATGAAACCTACTTTTATTGGATATAAAATCCAATAAAACCATGATTTAGACCCAATAAAACCATGAAACTGTTGCAACAAAGCTACTTTTGGATCACCATCTGCATCCGTGGCTTGAGCTGGGCGTCTGATCTCCAGCCTGTGCAAAGCGTGAAGAGCAGTTCGGAGTGAACGGCCATGGCTCGTGAGCCTGTCAGGGTGACCGCTGGTGAGTCACTGGTGACCACCATCCACCTGAGGGATCCATCATCCCCAGGAAAAATAGACCCCAAAAAATCGATGGACAACACGATTTTTCCTGGAACTAAATCGATGGATCCTAAGAAAAGGAGCTACGACTAACTAACACCATCTTTCAGGCCATTTCTGAATTGTGGGGATATCTCCTGAAATTTAGGCCTGAAAAATAAGCCAAAAATATATGGAATCGGTACCTCTAATCAATCGGTTCCTGAAATGGCCATGGAACGGAGCACGTCAAAATGAGGGCATTCTGAAGAGTTGCCCGGCCTGCTCCGGAATATGCCTATAGCAATGCAAGTCACAGAAAAATGCGCAGAGCACCTCTCTATCCCATATCATCCATGTATGGTATATATGCTAACATTGGGGGTATATTGATGATCAAAGGAAGTTGGGAAGCAATACTTCCGTGTTACGGACAAATAGAATTCTGAGACTTGAAATGATGAAGGGTGGTAGATTACATAACAATACATAACATAACAATACATAACAAAAGAATAAGAAGCGGTGGAATTGACCTTGATGAATGGTGGTAGATCACATAACAATACAACACATAACAAGACATAACAAAAGAAAAAGAAGCGCTGGAATTGATCTTGATGAAGGGTGGTGATAATGACGGGGTGGTGACGAAGAAAAGTGGTGACGAAGGGAAGTGGTGACGAAGGGAAGTGGTGAGGAAGGGACGTGGGGACGATGGGAAGGGAAGTGATGATGAAGGGGAGTGGTGAGGAAGGGGAGTGGAGAGGAAGGGAAGTGGTGAGGAAGGGAAGTGGACGAAGGGAGGTGGTGACGAAGGGAAGTGATGATGAAGGGGAGTGGTGAGGAAGGGGAGTGGTGAGGAAGGAAAGTGGTAAGGATGGGAAGTGGTGAGGAAGGGAAGTGGTGACGAAGCGAGGTGGTGACGATGGGAAGTGGTGAGGAAGGGAAGCGGTGACGAAGGCAAGTGGTGAGGTGGGGAGGAAGCCGGAGCACGAAACCTTGCGTTTTTCCGTGTAAAGTGGCTGCAGCCGGCGATGAAAGGTACCTCGTGTGTGCGGCGGGTGCGGCTGGGGTCGTTTGGTTCCTTCTATGTGTTTTGCAACAATGGTTGGTCCTGTGTGCGTAGTTCTATGCGTTTCTTGAAGCTGTGGTTGCAGATCGCATTGGAATGGCTGCATGAATGTTGCATGCCGTGTGTTGTAGGGAGGAAGCCGGAGCACGAAACCTTGTGCTTTTCCGTGTAAAGTGGCTGCAGCCGGCGATGAAAGGTACCTCTTGTGTGCGGCGGGTGCGGCTGGGGTCGTTTGGTTCCTTCTATGTGTTTTGCAACAATGGTTGTTCCTGCGTGCGTAGTTCTATGCGTTTCTTGAAGCTGTGGTTGCAGATCGCATTGGAATGGCTGCATGAATGTTGCATGCCGTGTGTTGTGGGGAGGAAGCCGGAGCACGAAACCTTGTATTTTTCCGTGTAAAGTGGCTGCAGCCGGCGATGAAAGGTACCTCGTGTGTGCGGCGGGTGCGGCTGGGGTCGTTTGGTTCCTTCTATGTGTTTTGCAACAATGGTTATTCCTGTGTGCGTAGTTCTATGCGTTTCTTGAATTTGTGCTTGCAGATCGCATTGGAATGGCTGCATGAATGTTGCTTGGTGCTGCGGCTGCTTGCGTAATACTATTGTCTTTGCAGCTGAAGATTGCGAATCGTATTGGCGTGGCTGCATCCAGGCTGCGATAGTGATTTGTCAGCAGATTTTCGCACTTTCGGCGCTATTAATTTTCCTTTTATTTTTATTGTTTAAAGTGCTTCAAAATTGTCTTTTTTCTGCTTTGGCGTCGAGATCGGTTTTGGAGCTGCTATTGCCGACGCTGTTGCGTGTAGTTCTATTGTGTTTTGCAACTCAGTCTCTGCAGATCGCATTGTAATGGCTGCATGAATGTTGCTTGGTGCTGCGCAATACTATTGTCTTTTGCGGCTAGATCTCGTAAATCGTATTGGAGTGGCTGCATCCAGGCTGCGATAGTGATTTGTCAGCAGATTTTCGCAATTTTGGCGCTCTTAATTTTCCTTTTAAAAGTCCTTTTAAAAAGTGCTTCAAAATCGTCTTTTTTAGATGAGAAAGGTCTTATATATATCTTTAAGGCAACTTCCGCCCCGCCTCGTGCGGGTACTACTGGTAAATGTTACCAGGTACCATATATAGCAGCACCATGGATCCTATGGGTATTCAATCAAAGTGGGAAAGCCCATGAATGCCCAAAATCCTGCGTTTGAAACGTGCCTCAATGCACTCTGTCAGGGCCCTGCGGTGAAAACGGTGAAAATGGCTCAGGATTTAGCAATGAAAGTAGCATTTCTGTGGGATATTAGTGGAAACTGAAGCAGTAAAGTCATCGTTACGCCATGCTATGCCGCACTTTAGGAGCAACAAAAAAGCTCCGAACGATGTGCTGATGGGATGGTCTGTCTATATCTGTCTATTGGGTTTTATGATTGCTTTAAAACAGTCGAAGATCCGCCATTCAAGGGTTTTTCCCATTCAAAAACTGCTGACTTTCCAAATTATATGATTGTCTATGTGGCGAACGCAATAGGGTATTGCAAAATGAGGCGTGGTTTATTGTTGGCTTTACCACACCAGTTGCGAATTCATAGTTAGATCACAGGTTCAAGCTAGCCACTTGCAATAGGTAAATATAGCTTACAGCATGGATCCATTTATATGAGACTATAATATGAGACTATATGGTATCCAGCTATATTTGGCACAATTATATATTGGTGATCGTACCATATAGTGAGCACCTAAGTCACTAAGCCTACGGCAATCAACAATCAACCGGTCTCTTTGAAGATGGTATCACGATGGCTTTTCCAGGGGGTGCAGTTGAGGTGGGAAAGACTGGTATAACCATGGTATAACCATGGTTATAACAATCATAACCCCAATCAGTTGGGATTATGAGGGCCCAAAAAAAACTGTGGTGAATTACCCTCCAGTAAATTGACAGTTCGACCTGGCAGTCATCGGGGTTTTTTATGATGAGTTTCCATTAAAAATTGGTGATTTTCAAGGTCTATGTTTATTCACCAGAGGGTATGTCCACTTGGTAAACTAATATAGCTATGGAAAATCACCATTTTTAATGGGAAAATCCACTATAAATGGTCATTTTCAATAGCTAATGTTAGTCATTACCAGAGGGTATATCCACTTGGTTCAGTGAGTCCTGAAAAAGGCGCCTGATTTTGTTCACAAAGCCACTGGCTGAGCTGCGCCAAACCGTGCCCAAGGTGTCTACTGCCTCTGCTCTTCACGGGGATGATTTGGGTGCTGAAGTCTGAGAATTCTTAAGGTATTGCAGGTTTCAAGAACTTATCAGTGGGTTTTACATGCCTTTATGATGTTTTATGACGTTTTATGGTGTTCTATGATGTCTTATCATGTGTCAATATGATATTTCGACGATGATATCTCTACTTTGTCTGGGGTGGAACCCCAATGACGTCACTGACATATCATGCCCTCACAGCAGGCTCAAGGTTGGCTGATAAACATTCTCCCCGTACTGCTATTCCTTATCCCTATATGTACATCAGTTTTCGTGCAGGAATATGGTGTTCTCTATTTACACCTCCACAATTACACATCATCATAGCACATTCTGGAGGTGTAAATTCTTCGAAACATGGAATATGAACATATACCTCACTATGGTGATCTCTTATTTACATCTATCTAGGTGTTTTCCTTTACATAACCATGTTGATCCCCCACCAATCAATGGAAGTCCGATCCATGATCCATGGACGTCCCTCGCCTGCTGAGTATAGCTGGCAACCCCACAGAGGCGTTCAGCCATAGCAGAACCTCCGGCATCTGCATTAGATAGCTCAAAAATGGATAAAAATGCTGCCTCCGGCTTAACTCTTGACCATTTTCGACCCCATCGTGGTTCACATGAGTGGCTCAAAATTCGGTCTATCTCCAAAATCATGGCACCAGGAATCATAGTTCACTTACTTAGTGTAGCTGTTTCTCACCAAAAAAAGTCTGCATGAATTCGGTATGCCATGGTATACCCATATACCCATAACCATATACCATATACCATGATGGTATACCATATATCATGGCAATCTGAGAAGCGCTGCACTGTGCCAGCTCCTTTCTGCGAATCGCCAATCTCCTGGGACTCGCGGAGATCCCAGGGAGTCCCAGGGAGTCCCAGGGGGACCAGCCAAGTGTCAGCATGTCTCCAAGTCCTTTTTGGTTCCTGTAGTTATGATACCAATATAATATATATATATAATATAAATATAATATATATAATATATAAATATAATATATATATATAATTATGGGGATTTCCATAAATGGGGGTACCCAAATAGTTGGATGGTTGATTTCATGGAAAATCCGATTTCAGAAAACGGATGAACAGTAACTGGTTTTTAGAACTGGGGGTAGCTCCATGACTTAGGAAACCACCATACCCTCTGGTAAACATACAAAAAAACTATGGAAAATCACCATTTTTAATGGGAATATCAACTATAAATGGCCATTTTCAATAGTTTTTTCTATGTTTACCAGAGGGTATCCCCCCATGTTTTCCCATTCTTTTTGGACATGTTTCTCCAAAGGCCCGTCCTCACGTCCCAGACCACCACGGCCAAATCACTGCTGGGAGACTTTTTGGGTGAACCGCCTCGAGGGATGCAAACATCATGCCACCAGTCGAAAAGCAAAAAATCGACTTCTGCAAAATCCGAAATCAGCAGCGATTTCGAAATGGAATCATATTATATGTAATAATATATATATATGTATAGTATCCGCCGACCCCGGCAGACGCAAGGGGGAGTGCGTAAGGGAAAAAGAGTTTATGACACAGCTGCCAGGAAAGAATAATAATAATTCGCTGACCCCGGCCGATGCAAGGGGGAGCGCGTAAGGGAAGAAGAGGTACTGCACTGCTACTTTTACTACCAGGCAGCAGCAGGCAGCAGCAGGCAGCAGGCAGCAGGTAGCAGCCAGCAGCAGCCAGCAGCAGCCCGCACCAGCCAGCAGCAGCAACCAGCAGCAACCAGCAGCAGCCGGCGTTAGGCAGCCAGCAGCAGCCAGCAGCAGCCAGCAGCAGCCAGCAACAGCCAGCAGCAGGCAGGAGCAGGCAGCAGCCAGCAGCAGGCAGGAGCAGCAGGCAGCAGCAGGCAGCAGGCAGCAGGGCAACAACAACAACAACAACAACAACAACATTTTATGGCAGCAACAGCAAGAGCAACAGCAACAGCAACAACAACAACGACAACAACAACAACAACCACCTCCAACAACAACAACAACAACAACAACAACAGCACAACAGCAACAGCAACAGCAACAGCAACAACAACAACAACAATGACCCTTTGCCGGGGGACCTTGTTGGGTCCCCCTCCCACCGGTCACGTACGTCGATTCATTGACTCCGGGGTTTTTGTTTTACCGGTGGGGGGTCCTTCCCGGAGTCTCCTGGAGGTACGTGGGGCTCCTTGGGTTGCCCTTCCCGCCCTGATTTGTTCGTTCGAGGCCGATTTCCTGGTGGGAGTGGTTCGATTTTTCGCGTCGCAGCCTGCCACTGGAGTAGCAGGAGCAGGAGCAGCAGCAGCAGCTACAATCATTTTTTCTATAAGTTTCAGAAGAGTAGCAGGAGCAGCAGCAGCAGCAGGTGGAAAAAGCAGCTAAATCATCTTTTGCAGCAGCAGCAGCAGCAACGGCAGCAGCCGTCTAGGATCTCTCATAAGTTCCCACAGGTCTTCAGGTCTAGTAAGGGTTCCAGAAGTCACATTAGGCACTTTTTCGGTGCGATTCTGGGGCCTGTTCGTCCTTCCGTGCCTTGCTGTTTTGGTGCGGGGAGGTGCTTTTGGTACTCTTCTGTCAGCAGCAGCAGCAGCAGCAGCAGCAGCAACGGCAGCAGCCGTCTAGTATCTCTCATCAGTTCCCTCAGGTCTTCAGTTCTAGTAGAGTTAGCAGCCGTCTAGTATCCTTCATCAGTTCCCTCAAGTCTTCAGTTCTAGTAGGGTTTCAGAAGTCACGTTAGGCACTTTTTCGGTGCGATTCTGTGGCCTGTTCGTCCTTCCGGGTCTTGCTGTTTTGGTGCCGGGAGGTGCTTTTGGTACTCTTCTGTCATCAGCAGCAGCAGCAGCAGCAGCAAAGGCAGCAGCCGTCTAGTATATATATATATAGTATATCTCTCATCAGTTCCCTCAGGTCTTCAGTTCTAGTAGGGTTTCAGAAGTCACGTTAGGCACTTTTTCGGTGCGATTCTGTGGCCTGTGCGTCCTTCCGTGCCTTGCTGTTTTGGTGCCGGGAGGTGCTTTTGCTACTCTTCTGTCAGCAGCGGCAGCAGCAGCAGCGGCAGCAGCAGCAGCGGCAGCAGCAACGGCAGCAGCCGTCTAGGATCTCTCACTCATAAGTTCCCACAAGTCTTGAGTTCTAGTAAGGGTTCCAGAAGTCACGTTAGGCAATTTTTCGGTGCGATTCTGGGGCCTGGTCGTCCTTCCGTGCCTTGCTGTTTTGGTGCCGGGAGGTGCTTTTGGTACTTTTTTGTCAGCAGCAGCAGCAGCAGCAGCAGCAACGGCAGCAGCCGTCTAGTATCTCTCATCAATTCCCTCAGGTCTTCAGTTCCCGTAGAGTTAGCAGCCGTCTAGTATCCTTCATCAGTTCCCTCAAGTCTTCAGTTCTAGTAGGGTTTCAGAAGTCACGTTAGGCACTTTTTCGCTGCGATTCTGTGGCCTGTTCGTCCTTCCGTGCCTTGCTGTTTTGGTGCCGGGAGGTGCTTTTGGTACTCTTCTGTCATCAGCAGCAGTCTTCAGTTCTAGTAGGGTTTCAGAAGTCACGTTAGGCACTTTTTCGCTGCGATTCTGTGGCCTGTTCGTCCTTCCGTGCCTTGCTGTTTTGGTGCCGGGAGGTGCCGTAGCACAACAGCAGCACCACAGCAGCACCACAGCAGCAGCAGCAGCCACCAGCAGCAGCACCAGCAGCAGGCAGCAGCAGGCAGCAGCAGTAAGTCCAACAGGCACCAGTAGCAGCAAAAGCGTCTGCAGCAGCAGGAGGAAAAAGTAGCCAAAATTCATTTTCTATGGGTTTCAGAAGTTACGTTAGGCATTTTCGGGGTGCAATTTTGGGGCTTCTCCGTCCTTCAGAGGCATGGTGTTTTCCTGCCGGCAGGTGATTTTTTTCATGGTGTTTTCCATCCGGGAGCCAGCAGCAGCAGCAGCAGCAAAAGTCTGTGCAGCAGCAGGAGGAAAAGGTAGCCAAAATGCATACATAGCAGCAGCTACAGCTATACTACTACTATTATGGGTTTCAGAAGTTACGTGTCTGATACTAGTACTATATTATGGGTTTCAGAAGTTACGTTAGGCATTTTCGGGGTGCAATTTTGGAGCCTCTCCGTCCTTCAGAGGCATGGTGTTTTCCTGCTGGCAGGTGATTTTTTCCATGGTGTTTTCCATCCGGGAGCCAGCAGCAGCAGCAGCAGCAAAAGTCTATGCAGCAGCAGGAGGAAAAGGTAGCCAAAATGCATAGCAGCAGGAGGAAAAGGTAGCCAAAATGCATAGCAGCAGCTACAGCTATACTAGTACTATTATGGGTTTCAGAAGTTACGTTAGGCATTTTCGGGGTGCAATTTTGGGGCTTCTCCGTCCTTCCGAGGCACGGTGTTTTCCTGCCGGCAGGTGATTTTTTCCATGGTGTTTTCCATCCGGGAGCCAGCAGCAGCAGCAGCAAAAGTCTGTGCAGCAGCAGGAGGAAAAGGTAGCCAAAATGCATAGCAGCAGCTACAGCTATACTACTACTATTATGGGTTTCAGAAGTTACGTTAGGCATTTTCAGGGTGCAATTTTGGGGCTTCTCCGTCCTTCAGAGGCATGGTGTTTTCCTGCCGGCAGGTGATTTTTTCCATGGTGTTTTCCATCCGGAAGCCAGCAGCAGCAGCAGCAAAAGTCTGTGCAGGAGCTTTTCCATGGTGTTTTCCATCCGGGAGCCAGCAGCAGCAAGAGTCTGATACTAGTACTATTATGGGTTTCAGAAGTTACGTTAGGCATTTTCGGGGTGCAATTTTGGAGCTTCTCCGTCCTTCAGAGGCATGGTGTTTTGCTGCCATCCGGGAGCCAGCAGCAGCAGCAGCAAAAGTCTGTGCAGCAGCAGGAGGAAAAGGTAGCCAAAATGCATACATAGCAGCAGCTACAGCTATACTATTACTATTATGGGTTTCAGAAGTTACGTTAGGCATTTTCGGGGTGCAATTTTGGGGCTTCTCCGTCCTTCAGAGGCATGGTGTTTTCCTGCCGGCAGGTGATTTTTTTCATGGTGTTTTCCATCCGGGAGCCAGCAGCAGCAGCAGCAGCAAAAGTCTGTGCAGCAGCAGGAGGAAAAGGTAGCCAAAATGCATACATAGCAGCAGCTACAGCTATACTACTACTATTATGGGTTTCAGAAGTTACGTGTCTGATGCTAGTACTATATTATGGGTTTCAGAAGTTACGTTAGGCATTTTCGGGGTGCAATTTTGGAGCTTCTCCGTCCTTCAGAGGCATGGTGTTTTCCTGCCGGCAGGTGATTTTTTCCATGGTGTTTTCCATCCGGGAGCCAGCAGCAGCAGCAGCAAAAGTCTGTGCAGCAGCAGGAGGAAAAGGTAGCCAAAATGCATAGCAGCAGGAGGAAAAGGTAGCCAAAATGCATAGCAGCAGCTACAGCTATACTAGTACTATTATGGGTTTCAGAAGTTACGTTAGGCATTTTCGGGGTGCAATTTTGGGGCTTCTCCGTCCTTCCGAGGCACGGTGTTTTCCTGCCGGCAGGTGATTTTTTCCATGGTGTTTTCCATCCGGGAGCCAGCAGCATCAGCAGCAAAAGTCTGCGCAGCAGCAGGAGGAAAAGGTAGCCAAAATGCATAGCAGCAGCTACAGCTATACTACTACTACAACAACAACAACAGCAACAACAACAGCAACAGCAACAACAACAACAACAATGACCCTTTGCCGGGGGACCTTGTTGGGTCCCCCTTCCACCGGTCACGTACGTCGATTCATTGACTCCGGGGTTTTTGTTTTACCGGTGGGGGGTCCTTCCCGGAGTCTCCTCGAGGTACGTGGGGCTCCTTGGGTTGCCCTTCCCGCCCTGATTTGTTCGTTCGAGGCCGATTTGCTGGTGGGAGTGGTTCGATTTTTCGCGTCGCAGCCTGCCACTGGAGTAACAGGAGCAGGAGCAGCAGCAGCAGCTACAATCATTTTTTCTATAAGTTTCAGAAGAGTAGCAGGAGCAGCAGCAGCAGCAGGTGGAAAAAGCAGCTAAATCATGTTTTGCAGCAGCAGCAGCAACGGCAGCAGCCGTCTAGTATCTCTCATCAGTTCCCTCAGGTCTTCAGTTCTAGTAGAGTTAGCAGCCGTCTAGTATCCTTCATCAGTTCCCTCAAGTCTTCAGTTCTAGTAGGGTTTCAGAAGTCACGTTAGGCACTTTTTCGGTGCGATTCTGTGGCCTGTTCGTCCTTCCGGGTCTTGCTGTTTTGGTGCCGGGAGGTGCTTTTGGTACTCTTCTGTCATCAGCAGCAGCAGCAGCAGCAGCAAAGGCAGCAGCCGTCTAGTATATATATATATAGTATATCTCTCATCAGTTCCCTCAGGTCTTCAGTTCTAGTAGGGTTTCAGAAGTCACGTTAGGCAC